CCCCAAAAAAAAAAAAAAAAAGAATGTAAAGCTCTTGGTTAAAAATAATGTATATGGTACTATCCTGGATCCTGTTGTAACATGATGCATGTATACTTAGAAAAACCATATCAGGTGATGTAGAGTTATAATTATGTAATGCAAATAAGAAATAAATAAAAGTAAGTAAATTAAAAATTCTATAAATAAATGGTTTTGAGGAGCTTCTGGGTTGATAACAAGAATGCATCCGTGAGGGGGTCGGCAGGTGGTGTGGTGTTTAAGGGCATTCGATTCCCGTGTGATCAACCACTGTTTGAGTCCGGACCTGGTGGCTTACTTTCTCACTTTCCGTCTCTCTCACTCTGCTGTCCTTCTGGTCAAATGAAAATAAATAAAGAAATAAAATGAAATGAAATGAAGATTTCTTAAAAAAAATAAAAGAATGAAGCCACGTGTTAGGTGGGTGGAACAGCTTGAATTCTTAGGAAAAATGCTCTTGTCCATAGGACCCTTCTGGATCTCTCTCTACACATCTTTATCAGTCTCGTTATTTGTATTCTTTACAATATTCTTTATTTTATTTATTTGTCATTTAATTTTGTTTAGAGAGATTTTTTTTTTTTTCTATAAGACACATGTGCATGTCAGAGAGACAAAGAAGAGACAGAAACAGAAACTGAGAAATCACCCTCTGGGAGGCTGGCCACACTGCAATCCTGTCTTCTCCATTCTCCTCTAGGATTTTGGGCATTCACACACATGCTCCCGATTTTAAGTCACCAGGTCTGGGACATGAACCGCGGGCAACTACATGGGAGTCCAGCAATGTAACTATTGCACCATCCCTGCAATATTGTCTCTACAATATTCTTGATCATACACTACTTGGTGAGCAGAGTGTTTTCCTTGGTTCTGTGATCTCTCTAGCAAATTTCAAACCTGAGGAGAAGGCCTAGGGAACCTCTGCTTTATAACCGGTCACTTAAAATACAGGGGGAGAGGGAGACTTGAGGACTCACCTTTTGACTAGCATCTGGAGTGTGATGGGAGCAGACTTGTACAATTGCATCCTTAACCTGTGGGGTTTGCACTAAGTCTTCCATTGAATTAAATTATAGGACACTCACTTGGTGTCTGCAGAGAACTGGAAAATGACTTGGTGTGGAAACTCCCACACATTCTGTCAGAAGTGTTCTTGAGGAGTTATGAGAGTTAAAACATACCCATGTAGCTGGAGTATTACAGAACCCTGTGACCTTCCTTTGGGCCACAGTCCTACTTTCTCTGTTAGGCTTCTCGATGGCCTTCCCCACCTTCCTTCCATGTTTCTGCCTCAGAGCGCCTGCTCCTAATTACTATTATTTCTGTATTCTTTAGGGCTTACTTTTACTTCTTTTGGTAGGTATTCACTGTTAGTGGTTATTTTCTTTCTTTTTTTCTTTTTTCCTTTTTTAGTTTTGTATAGGGCTTTGTGAGCTCATTGTAGACAGAGAGAGAAAAAGTGAGAAAGAGGAAATGCCCATGCCACAATTCCTTCTTTTCTGCTTTCTGGGGATTTTGGGAATGCATACTCATGTGCCTTGAGTGCTTTTCAGGTTTCCAGGTCCAGGACCTGAACTGTGCAGTCAGCCCTGTGGGATCCAGGTGCTTTAACCATCACACCACCCATCACACCACCTGGGTGGCCCAGTCATTCGGTTTAAAAAACTTTTTATTTATTTGTGTTTCCCTGTGACAAGGAGAGAGAGGGAGACACAGAGAGACAGAGAGATGGCACCTAGACAGAATCTTGATGCCATAATTCATGTCAAGCCTCATCCAGCCCCTGATCATGGGTATGTACTTCCCACGTGGGTCGGCCTTGCAGAGCACACATTTACTGCTACACCACCACCCAGCCCCATTAGTTCATTCTTTCTGCCTCCTTCTTCCTTGTTCTTCTTCCTCTCCTTTTCTTCTTCTTTTAATTTGCCAGAGGGTACATGTACTTGCCAGAGACAGAGACAGACAGGCATCGAAAGAAGGAAAGTGAGACAGCACTTCTCCCACCTTTGGGGTATTGTCACACCACAATCCCTTCCCCTACACCTCTCCTTTTGGAATTTGAGCATGCGCACACACACGCCCAGCGTGTTTCTCAAGCTGCCCCGATCAACTCAAACTGTAGTCAGCCATGTGAGAGCCAGCCTCCTTAACCACCACGCCACTGACTGGTCTACTTCATAGTTCTTTATAATTGACAAGCCAATCCTAAATTCTTGTGAAAATTCAAGAGACTGGGAATAGCCAAAACAATGTTTAAAAACAAGAGTGTAGGACACACCTTTCTTTGTTTTAAAACATACTGCAGTGCTATAGTAGTCAAAGCAGGATGGTACTAACTGACACTACCAAAATAAACGATCACATTTTTATTTACTTTTAACATTTTAAATTAATTAATTTACATTCATTCCCTGAGCATCGTCACAACGTGCAGAATGTGATTTCCCAACCAGAATATACCGCATAGTGGCTTAATCAAACATGTTATCATCAATAATTTTCCATTTCTAGTTTCATATGTATACATGTGTATGTGTGTGTGTGTGTGTGTGTGTATATATATATAATTTTTTTAC